TCACTGTACCAAAAAGGAGATGGAAGGAATACACAGATCACTGTACCAAAAAGGAGATGGAAGGAATACACAGATCACTGTACCAAAAAGAAATGGTCCATGTTCAACCGTTTCAAAAGGTAGCATATGATCAAGAGCCAACAATCCTGAAGGGAGAAGTCCAGGGTGCACTGAAAGCCTTGGCAAAGAACAAGGCGCTGGGAATTAATGGAATAAAATTGAAATCGTTCAGCAAACTGATGCAGCTCGAGGCGCTCACTCATCTCTGCCAAGAAATTTGGAAGACAGCTGCTTGGCCAACTGACTGGAAGAGATCCCTATTTGTGCCTATTCCAAAGAGAGGTAACCCAACGGAATGCGGAAATCATCGGACATTATCATTAATATCACATGCAATTAAAATTTACGGTAATTCAAAAACATCTGCAGCAGTACATTGACGGAACTACCAGAAGTTCATACTGGATTCAGACAAGAACGTGGAACGATGTCACTGCTGACATCCGCTCAATCTTGGCTGAAAGCAGGGAATCCAAAAAGATGTTTGTTTACCTGTGCTTTATCGACTATGCAGAGGATTTCTACTGTGTGATCATGATGCGCTATGGATACCATTGCGAAGTATGAGTATTCCCGGACACTTAATTATGCTCATGAGGAACCTGTACACACACCAAGGAGCAGCCGTTCAGATAGAACAAGGACTCGCCGAATGGCTTAAAATCAGGAAAGGTATGAGCCAGGTTGCATCCTTTCACCATACTTAATCAGTCTGTAAGGAGCTCTGGTAGCGTAGTGGTTACGAATCAGGCTGCGAACCACAAGGTCAGCAGTTCGAAACTACCAGCTGCTCCGTGGGAGAAAGATGAGGCTTTCTGCTCCTGTAAAGATTTACAGCCTTGGAAACCCTGTACAGGGTCGCTATTGGTCGGAACCGACTCGACAGCACTTAACAACAACAACTCAGTCTGTACACTGAGCAAATAATCCGACAAGCTGGATTTTGTGGAGAAAAACATTGCATCTGGATTGGAGGAAGACTCATTAACAACTAGCGACATGCAGATGATGATACTGCCTTGCTTGCTGAAAGTAAAGACTTAAAATATTGATGAAGATCAAAGATCACAGCCTTCAATATGGGTTGCGTCTCATTGTAAGAAACAAAATCCTCACCATTGGAGCAATAAATACCATCTTGATAAATGGAGAAAAAATTGAAGTTGTCAAAGGCTTCGTTTTGCTTGGATCCGTCATCAACATTGCAAGCAACAGTCAAGATATCAAATGACGTATTGCATTGGGCAAGTGCTGTACAAGCCCTCTTTAAAGTGTTCAAGAGCAAAAGTGTTGGTTTCAGGACTTAGGTGCGCCTGACCCAAGCCATGGTATTTTCAGTTGCCTCATCTGCATGTGAAAGCTGGACCGTGAATAAGGAAGACTGTAGAAGAATTGATATATTTGAGTTACGGTGTTGGAGGAGAATATTAAAGGTACCATGGACCATCAGAAGGACAAACAAACCTGAATTGGAGGACGTACAGCTAGCGTGCTCCTTAGAAGCCAAGGTGGCCAGACTTCGCCTCTCATCCTTCAGACATATTATCAGGAAGGACATCATATTTGGTAAAGTGGAGGGTTAGCAAAAAAGAGGGAGACACCCCCCCACCCCTGAACCAGATAGATTGGCACAGTGGCAGCAGCAGTGTGCTCCAGTGTGGCATCCGTTGTGAGGATGGCGGAGGACCCGGCGGTGTCGTGTTCTTTTGCACATAAGGGTTGCTGTGGCTCAGAACCAACTCAACGGCACCTAACAACAACAGCGTAACTGGAATCAGTTTTGTGTCCGTTGTAACTTTCTATCCCAAATACCTTCACCAGCATCAATTCTTCTACGGTCTGCCTTAGTCACTGTCCAGCTTTCACATGCATTTGAGGTTATTGAAAATACCATGGCTGGGGTCAGGTGCACCTTAGTCCTCA